TAGAAATGTATGACTCCAATTCAAATTCAAAGTGGATAGAGAATGAATAGGAAAAGCGAGTTGAAAATCCTGAATGAACTACAATATGTATGTATGTATGCATGTATATATTTAAATTGAATTGTATAATGGAATAGTAGTGAAAAAAGATCACTGTTACCATGCATGCACATGGTGCCTCTCCGCTCCGCTGGCTATCAATATAAAGTGGATATTTTACTTCAATGGAATAATGGAATAGTAGTGAAAAAAGATCACTTTTGTGCAGTGGGAGGCTTGGGATAGTGGGTTACAGGTCAATCATACTTGAATATGTCGGTCTTTGCAAATAAATAATAAATAAACACATATCAATAAGATTACGTTTATAAAAAAAATAATAATAACGATAATTCCGTGTTCTGTCTGCCGCGTGGCTATATATAATTGGCTAGGGTGACCCAATAAAAGTGGTACAATAAGTGCCAGAAATTGCAGACAATAAAATTCCGATGAAGCATTTTGATGCTTCCAATCCTGATTCTACTCTTGATGCTTCAACAATAAATTCTGATGAAGCATTTTGATTAGTTCAGACAAAGGTCTTTTTATAATTTTTCCACTAACATTTTAGGAGCCAAAAATTTTGGGCTCACAAATAAGATGCATGCACAATCATTAATTCAATACTACCTTTTTGTTGTATGGAATAAACAAAGTTAAAGGTCTTGTTTGTACCGCCTCCGAGATCTCCGGGAGGTCATGTCTAATTGGTCTAAGATTCTTGGAGGTAATTACCATACGCGTTGATCACCCTCTGGATTGTTCAGTACGTGGGCCAACTTCCAAGGATCGTGGGAGTGTTAGGATATGCATGTTGAATTTGTCAGTGAGCACGTCTCGCAGGTCGCCACCTGTGCCATGCCGACAGGTCATGCCTAGGCCAGGCTGCCAGGTTGTGCCTGGGTCAGGCCGCCAGGTCGTGCCTATGCCAGGCAATCAGCTCGCGCCAGGGTCATGTCATGCTTGTGCCAGGCTGCCAGCTCGTGCTAGGGCCAGGCCGCCAGATCGCGCCTGTGCCGAGCCTCACTTGTGCCAGTCTGCCCCTGTGTCGGGCTGCACTTGTGCTAGGCTGCGCCTATGTTGGGCCTCGCCAGTGCCAAGCCTTGCTTGTGCCAATCCGCCCCTGTGTCGAGCCACACTTGTGCCAGGCCATGCCTGTGCCAGGTTGCCAGGTGGGGCACCATCAAATTGGCTAAGGCAAGTTGTTGCCAAAGTGGTATTGGGTGTCACCTAATTGTTCTGAGGTGCCATGTGTCACAATGTCATTGGAGGGCCAAATCCGCCCTCATCATTTGCCCCCACTCCCAAGCTGAAAGTTACTTGGCGAAGGGAATATATTTCTCCTTTTGGCCCGGAATTCGATGAGCTCGTAAGCGCTGATTCAATTCCTTAGGCTTGGGGAGAGGCTCTCAGTCCACTCCTGGATTTTGTCACTACCGAAGAAGCGATTGTGTCCTACCAGTTCGATACTTTAGCTCTTAGGCTCTCGGAGCAACTTGTATTCTACTCTTGTTGACTTTGTCCATGCCCAAGAGGTGACTGGGTCTTGTGTGATATTTTAGCCCTTAGGCTCTGGGAGCAACTCGTAGGCCACTCTCCTTCAATTTGCCAATGCTGAAGAGGCGACTGGGTCTTATGTGACGAGGAATCCTCTTATTAGTTCGTCAGTTCGCGCCTGGGCCAGGCTGCTAGGTCAGTGCCCACGCCAGGTCGTGCCAAGTTGGTACATGTGCCAGGCTGCGAGGGTGCCAAGCCGCCGGGCTGTGGCAGGCCACGCGCCAGCCACACCAGGACATGCCTGGCCATGTGCAGGCCACCGGGTGGGCGCCTTAAGAGCTATGGTTGTGCTGCATCAGCCTCATAAGAAGCTATTAGGAGTACGACCTTCAGGGGCAGCTCTACAAACTTTGGGTCGCCAGCTCATACGGGAGCCTTGGAAGACTCGACCAGCAAGGGTGCCCATGTAGTATGTTGGCCGCCAACTCCCTTGGAAGCCACGAAGAGCTCATCTTTGTAGAGTGGACCTCACGAAGAGGGCTGATGAGGTTTTATCTGAATTGAAAGTAAAGTTGGTAGAGCTGCTTAGTCTATTAGCTCCTTGCATAGTCTTTGAGTTCATAAAAAATGGAAAGTATAAAGCGAGAGCTTTAGTTTCCAAAAAATGAGGACTTAACTTTATGGAAGAAGAGGACTTAAGCTTTTTAGAGGAGGAGAACTTAGCTTTTTGTAGCGTTTCCCACAGATGATGCCAATTGATGAATCAATTTTTAGTGATGTATCAATTTTTTGTGCTAAGTACCTTGTCATATGGTCTGCTTCCAAGTGGCCGATGACTAAAAGGCCGAAGTGAACTTTTGCTGGATGAGGACTTGGATGCCGAGCTAACCAGGCCGAGCTGGGGGCAAAAGCTTTTTGTAGCGTTTCCCACAGATGATGCCAATTGATGAATCAATTTTTAGTGATGTATCGGTTTTTTGGCTAAGTACCTCGTCATTTGGTCTGCTTTCAAGTGGCTGATGACTCAAAGGCCGAAGTGAACTTTTGCTGGATGAGGACTTGGATGCCGAGCTAACCAAGCCGAGCTGGGGGCAAATTAGGTGCTGAGTTAATTGGGCCGAGCTGGGCTGGTTAGGTGCTGAACCGACTGGGCCGAGCTGACTGGGCTGAGCTGGGTAGGCTAAGTGATGAGCTGACCAGTGTGCCGAGCTGTATGATGGTGAACTGCCTATGGCGAGCTGCGTATAGCGAGCTGCCTATGGCGAGCTTCGCTGCTCTTTAGAGACTTGCAAGGAACAAAATGTCAGATGACCTGGGGTGGCTAACCCAACGAGGTCGCTCCGATGCTTAAGTCAGCACTCTCATGGTAGAATGTGAGCTAAAAATCACAAGTATGAGAGGTAGAATTTGTTTACTTGCTTGCTTGCTTGCCACCTTCTGTCATTGGGGTTGGGGCCTTTATATAGGCCTTGCTCATGTACCGCCTCCGAGATCTCCGGGAGGTCGTGTCTAACTCGTCCAACATTCCTGGAGGCAACTGGCATGCGTGTTGACCACCCTCCGGATCGTTCAGCACGTGGGCCAACTTCGAAGGATTGTAGGAGTGTTAGGATATGCATGCTGAATTTGTTGGTGAGCATGTCTCGTAGGTTACCAGGTCGGCGCCTGTGCCATGCCGCTAGGTTGCGCCTGGGCCAGGCTACCAGGTCG